ACTGGAAATGTTTTCAATTTCTGGTTGTGTATTTGTGATGACTTGAATTTTGAAAATCATAATTTATGACGAATGAAAATACAATTTGAACCATCTGTTGATAACAAATGACAACATTTGGAAAAATCAACATAATTACACTGAATCATTAAATGCTTTATGTCACTAGTTAGGAAATCAACGTTTTCGTATTGCCGAAATCTATTTTTTGGCTGTGTAATTGTTGAAAAACACTATTATTTACTATCTGTTGAAAATTGTTTGTAATTTGAACTTATGAATATTTGCATTGTTTATTCAAAAAAATATATCACGTAAAAAGATGAATATGTGGCATTTAGATTTTTCTGTTTTGTATTCTGGCATACATTATTTATTCAAACCTTCATATTTCAATTTTTGAAAAACTCTTATCAATATATTTTCAATTGTTGCTGTATATAACCATGATACAATATAATTCCTTTACAGAAATCAAAAGTGACAAATATCGAAGAGAGATACATAAGTATCGAAACAATAATAATCTCTCCCAACTACCTATACAGTAGGGTGTGGTAAACATCTGTCGAAAAACAAGTACTTTCCCGGCTAATACCACGCTAGATATTGAATTATATCCTATATGCAAGATTCCTCACAGAGTCTAGTCTCGCAGATGTTTCTCGTTCATCCAGCAGCAGAACCATGCTGAAATTATTTAAGTAGATCACCTGCAGACTGCAGTTTCGGTCTCGTCAGTACAGAAAAGATCCTACGCAGACAGCAAAGTGTCTGGCGCTCAATTGATTTCAACACGGCTCCGCTACATATGAAACCTTCGTCTGAGAGAAAGAGAGTGTTAGCTAGTAACAACTCCTCGTGAACAAAGCCCCAAGCGGAAAAAAAACATCACATATATCAAAAATCTAACAGAGATCAGAAGTGACAACTATCGAGGAGAGATACATACGCATGCAGGAAGTAAATCTTGCGTACATGTCTGTCGAATATAATTCAATATCCAGCGTGGTATTAGCCGGGGAAGTAGTTGTTTTTCGACACACGTTTACCACACCCTACTGTGTAGGTAGTTGGAAGAGTTTAGAAGTAGTTGTTTTTCGACACACGTTTACCACACCCTACTGTGTAGGTAGTTGGAAGAGTTTAATGTTTCGGAATATTTATTTTCTGATAAATATAATTCTTTGTTGGGAATCGCACGTTGAACGGTGACATCTCGTTGATCCTCACCTCGCATAAGTTTCGAATTCAGAGAGTTGACGTTGGTAGAGGAGCGAGAGCTGTTTAACAAAAACAGATTTTTTAACAGAAGTTTACATATACGTAGACTGTTAAAAAAAAAGTGAATGTTCATTCGATTAGCGATTTTTTTATATGTTCGTACACTCGTTTCGGGCATAAGTTTTTTACTAGTTTCAGATGCCAGATGTCATGTTTAGTTTGTTAGTGAGATACATAAAAGTTGAAAGTGTTCTGCTATTGAAAAAAAAAGGATCTAATAATCGGCATCAAATTTTATGTAAAAATTGGAACTAATTACTCAAAAACATTTGAAATATCGACAATGGCAGATGGTGATTGTACTCTGAGTCAGAAAAATGGTTACAAGCTTTTCACAGAAGGTCGAGAAAATGTGAATGACGACGCTCGCCCTGGACGCCCCAGCACATCAATAATCGATGAAAATGTTGAGAAAGTGAAGAAATTTGAATAACATTGTGAAAAATCCAAAAAAATCTTTGGAAGATATTAAAAAATGTATAATAAATGTTGCAAAAAAACAGATGGAATATGAATCTTACAACAAATCAGATGAAAGCGGGGACCAAAATGTGGACAATTTTTTTGATTTCACGGATTCCCAAGATAACCAAGAAGTAGGCACTGTAGGCAGTAGTAGTACTATGAACGAACAGGGTACTGAGAGTACCAGTGAAAGTAGCAATAAAACTACAAAAATTCAGCTGGAATTATTAAGATATCTGGAAGACAAAAGAACCAATTTACAAGTATTACATGAATACCCAATATTTAAAAAAGTGTCACGCAAGTGTAATACATGCTTACCTTCGGCAGCACCAGTAGAGACACTTTTCTCTCTTGCAACTATGATTAATACGCCAAAGAGAAAAAATTCAAGTGATGAACACTTCGAGGTATTGGTACTGACGAAGGCAAATTCAAACTCAAAGGTACTATTATAGATATAAATGTCACATCTAGCGAATAATGTGATGAAAGCTAAAAATTTTTTTTTTTACTGAAATGTTCTTTGTTTACAAAATAAATATAAACAGTTTTTTAGTTTCTTTCATTTCCTATCTTTTTTTATCACTTTTTGATATTCATGCCTAGCATTTTTACTTCTATACTATAAAACACTATTTTAACTAACTCTAAAAGTATCCGAAAAAAGTATCCAAATACTTGTATCCGAGTACATTTTAAGGTGAAAGTATCCGTAATTTTTCAAAAAGTATCTGGATACATTGAAAGTATCCGTATCTGGTATTCGTATTCATTTTTCCTGTATCCGACCCAACTCTGCTACATAGAATAATTCTTGAAACTGTTTCCTTGGATGTTTCACTGGGTTTGAATACTTATTCATGAGTGCCGAAACGTGATTTCATCAGAGAATGTAGCTCAAGTACTCATATTTTTCCATACTCTGATAATACTGATCTCAATACTAAATGAAAAATCCATTTTCATTGCCATAACGATATAAACAGATTTCAATCTGGGAAACTATCACCTGCTATCGGGTTATATGTATGTTTTATAGGCGCAGTCTCGACTCGAACACTTCATGGCTCGTTGAGACTTCCTCCAAGTAGGAATTGAAATATCGAAAGAGATTCCTATATGTCTATATTTGATATGTAGAGTTGTTACAACTGAGTATTTGCTCTACTTAGATCAACGAAGTAGCAAAGAGCTCACTTTCTGCATTTACTTTTATGATAAATTTCATGTTATTTAGCATTTTTCGGAAAGCAGAATAAAGTGACTGAATGAATCTAGTTAACTTTCTTCACCCATATCCTGATTCATCTTTCGAAATAGTAAAATACCCACATGGCCAATTCAACCAATTTCAACTTTAATGAGACATTCTTCTAATAAATACTTACCACTGTATGTACTATTCAACTCAGATATTGAACGAATTCCAAATCGTTCGAATGGAATGAAAAATCAAACAATAATTGTTATTTGGGTAATTAAATTTTTTTTTCAAATTTTCTAAAAGAAAAGTTAGGATATTTTTTTTGAAGGATTAACAAAAGATTTACGCTAAAAAATTGGAAAACATTAATAGAGGATTAAACCTTTTTTATCTGGTGTGCCGATTTATTAAATTCCAATCTGATAGAAGCTACATGAATATATATTTTTTACTTTTCACATTCATTGTTTGAAAAGTTTTTTCATGAAATAATTGAAATTTATTGAATTCTTATTACTTATTTTCTGAAAAATAATCGTTTCCAGAATTTTATTTATGAAATGTATTCGTCAATATACTTTTTGTTTTGACACAAAAAATCAATACCAGGGGATCAATTTCATGACGCATTATTACTCTTATTGTACCCGTTTCTGTGTAACGAATATTTTGTTTCGATCGCCGTTATTTATTGAACAGAAATGTGTTTTGAACAAGAATTTTCGCATTCGATTTCTATTGGGCAGTGAAAAAAAAGAAATGGAAAATATCCATGTATGATTAGATGAGAAGGAATTGAATGGAAATATATGAAACAATTTCACTAATGGATACTTCGCTATTTTTATCAATACAAATACGAAAAATATTTTTGTAATATTAATATTTCCTTCCTTACGAATCAGTAGTCAGTTGTCCAAAAAATCTTGCAGAGAAAATGAAAGGATAAAATTTCCACTCTAGGTCAATGAAAATAGTGAAAGACATCCCCAAATTAACAAAATAAATCAGAGTGAAACCAGAAAAACGAAAACTAGTTATGGAGATGGACCCATACATTAAAAATTATGGAAAGAAAGTAATTAGTTAATAGTATTAACGACTTCAATGAAAATTCTGAAAATAATGATGAACTCGAACTTACAATTTTACATATGAATATCCGTAGCGAAGCAGATATTTTAATGAACTTTCGAATTTCTTGACTCAATTTCTATAACAATTTGATAACATTGTCCCAACCGAAACTCTTAATATGTCTTGCAGTGTTACGTAAACGATATTTACAGTCAAGGAACATAGAATAGAAACGATGTAATGTTCATATTCATGCATTCTCGCCTCCAGTATCATTTTGGAATTTGAAGTTACAAGTTACCATAAAGCAGGATAAAATTTTCCTTACGGCTTGATATAGATCATCTTCGTCTGACAAAAATATATTCAATATATGATTTAGAAAGATATTATAACTAATTTAAATGAAAACGGAAATGATGTGTAATACTAGTGACTGGGATACTGTTAGCATAGTTAAGAATGAATAATTTCTGAAAAAACTTTAAATTAACATGAAATTGAAATCTGGTTCTAGTAGATACTCTGGAAAAATTAATTTGACAATTTGTTTCCCCAACAAAGTAGAAACTTGTACAGTTAGTAGTGGAGACGTAAAGGGTCGGCCGAAACGTAGAACTAAACCGGTTTAAGAATATTTTTATTCAAAAATGTGATATTTTTCTGTAAGAGATGATATCTGTAATGTATGAAAGTACGCCAGTAAGTGAGTTTGCCTTTGACGGTTATTAAATGAGTATCAATGGAGATATGTGTTTTATTTTCGTCAAATTCTAGAAATATAATCACAGATGTTGATACTTTCCTTGTCTATTTTATATTACTATCTATCCATCAGTGTCTTTCACAGCTTCAACAGCAGTACACACATCCACTAAAGATTTCGTTATTTTTGGCCTAACAAAAATTAAATCACTGCGTCTTGGATGGTCGCCCAACAAACAAAAAACTCAAAACAAAATCCTACCTGTATACTTTTTACTCCTGGTCGCCTTGCTGTATAGGATGAAAGCTGCCAGAAAGAAGACCGATGAAAGTGTTTCCGCTCTTCCAACAACTCCCGTTACCTGAAAATAAAACACGAACAATTAAGTTGCGAACTCAAAGCGATCGTTTGAGCTGTTAGCGGTTGAAGTGGAGTTTGAAATTTTAAAATACATTCGACTGTAACGGAGTGAGGGGTGTTCTGCGGCACGAGTATAAGGAATTGGAGGAAGGGGTTGATCAGGGAGATGTTTCCTTTGGAGGCACGCGTCGTGTTGAAACATAGTTTTAATGCGCTCTGTTTCATTGAACTTTCATAGGTAATTCATAAAATCTGTGTATATCTTTGAAAAAAATCGAATATTCATCAGTTATCATATGATGAGTTTGTCAAGTATCCATGTAAGTGGAGTGACAAAATCCCGATACAAAATCTAGAGATGAAAGTATCAGTTAGCCATTCGACATGAGTAAACAAATTGAAGTTCTACTCCATAGTTGCCAAATTAGTTTAATAGTATGGAACTCCTAAGAGAAGAAATTTTGTGAATAGTGAAAAAAAGTTCAACAAAATATACTAGCCAGTGAAGTGAATATGAAATTGAAGATTGGAGAAAAATTGAACAAAAAATCAGGAAATTGGAAGGAGAGAATATACCGTTGAAAGAGTAGTTGGAAAAGTTAGGAAGATAATGTAAGAAGAACAAAGAATGGATATATTAATATTGTTATTGGTGATACAGTAATATTCCCCACAAACGTGACAAAAATTTTAGGTATCGAAATGGATGTGAATTTAAGGTTCACAAATAATATCACAAAATGTGTTCAAAGAAGTTACATGAGTTTGAAAATGCTTTATCCTCATCGTCATTTATTATAAATAAGTTTGTAAATAAAGTTAACAAATGCGCTTGTGTTGAGTCATTTTGCATATTGTGATGTTTTGTATGGTTCATGCCTGGATAAATTCATGTTTGGATCTAATTTTAATAAAAAAACACTCTGAGTTTGAGGGTGAGGGGAACTAAAACTCCCCAAAAGGCTTTGCAAAACATGCCACCGTGGAGCAGCCTACCCAAGCTAAGATGTAAGGAATCGTGCCGACAGCTGAATGGCCGCAGAGTGATATGCGGTCACGAACGATCCCCTTGAGGAACTGGGCAAAACCTCATTGTAATCAGCCTACCTCTGGTAATGCGGGGCTCTGCCAGAGGTGACCAATTCTTCCGCTGCTATTCGTGGGAACACACATGAATGAAACAACAGAAACAACAAAAACCAATCCCGAGGCTGGACGGAAGTGCTCACCTTACGGACGGAAGTGCCAAAGAGAGTGTGTTTGGTGAGTCTTGGCCTACACCCGCCAATATTAGAGAGATGTCTCCTAGTGACCTATTCACCTTCCTGAAAAGGACAGGATGGACGATGACCTATGAGAACACCTCCTCGGGAGGATGTACAATGGGTCACATATGGCGTAAGTGCTGTGAGTCTACACTCACCCTCCCTACTCTACAGATACCAGATAGATCACCTTCGTCTGACAAAAATATATTCAATACAGAGCTCTATACAATTATCTGAATATGAGAAAAATTTAACAAATTACATATTTCTCTTGGTGACATGAATATATATTTACTCCAAGACAGCAATAGTGATGGGGAAGAGTACAAAAATATACTCAATTCATTTAATTTAATTTCTTTCATCAACAAGGTAATAAGACCAACCAGTAAAACATGTTTGGATCATATTTTTGTAAGAAATACTATAAGTCAAAACAACTGTGACTCATTTGTCTTCAACTGTGATATAAAGGATCACCTTCCATAGCTTTCGAATACATTCATAATAAAAAAATAACAGAAATTCTAAGACGAAAAGAATACAAAACATACATCAACTACAATATTCCATAAATCGCAATGCATACATTTTAAAAAAAAAGTTTAATCATAGCTACTTCATGATATGATTTAGAAAGATATTATAACTAATTTAAATGAAAACGGAAATGATGTGTAATACTAGTGACTGGGATACTGTTAGCATAGTTAAGAATGAATAATTTCTGAAAAAACTTTAAATTAACATGAAATTGAAATCTGGTTCTAGTAGATACTCTGGAAAAATTAATTTGACAATTTGTTTCCCCAACAAAGTAGAAACTTGTACAGTTAGTAGTGGAGACGTAAAGGGTCGGCCGAAACGTAGAACTAAACCGGTTTAAGAATATTTTTATTCA